TAAAATGTGCATAACAGTGCGGAATATTATTAGTACTTTATAAATTCACATGCGTTTTTTTTTTGAGAAATAGAGAAATTTAATACTTTCCGTCAGCGGAAATTACTCAAAATTTGAGAGAAGGCGGATAATTAGATGTATTACTTACACGTAAAATTTCATTTATGTATCTGAAAGTAGAAAAAGTTCAACTTCCGGTTCTCGGAAATCGCTCAAAAATTTATACGGATCTACGATTTTGATATAATACTTATTTATGAAATTTCATCAACCTAGCTGTAAAGGTACTCAAGTTATCGTGTTTACAGACACACACACACATACAGACATACGGACAATATTGCAAAACTATGTTTTTTTCACTCACGATTACAAAACTTTCTATTTACGTGTAGTTGTAACTTATTTAACTAAATTCAAAGTACGAAGTATTTTAATGCGTATTCTATTCAGTGGCCTAGAGAGGTCGGGTGTCATCAGTTGCGCACTTAAAGATGTCGCTCACCCCCACCCTCCACCCCCCGTAATTTTTTAAATATATAATTATACATACATATATATATATATATATATATATATATATATATATATATATATATATATATATATATATATATATATATATATATATATATATATTTATTTATTTATCTATTATTATTTTTACTGTACCTATATTATTTATAGCTAAACATTCCCATACACACATTAGTAGTTAGACTTTCTAACATTTACTTTTGTTCTTATTTCAGAATTGTCCGCAATTATAAACGAATAATTTAGGCCTATGAGATTAGATATCAGGAGGAAGAAATCGAGGCTTTCTCCTCACCCAGTGATGAAGATTGGTTGCCCCCATGCAAAATTGTTTCCAATGGGAAAAATGATTTTTACAAATATTTAAATACATGAATTTTTAAATTTTCATAAAGTGTGTGGGATTGCCCCACTTGCCATGTTTTTGTAACAAAAGTGAAATATTTAAAAATTGTTTTTTGTTTCATGAATTATCTCTATATTTGTTTGCCATTATATAAATAATGCATGTCTACTTATACCCTCAATATTATATTGTCATAGTGTTAATTTTAGATTTTTTACATTTTTATAGAAAAGTAGTGTATGGAATTACCCCTATAAGTAATAATGAGAGATTAAATATATATATATACACACACACATATATATATATATATATATATATATATATATATATATATATATATATATAAATATATATATATATATATATATATATATATATATATATATATATATATATATATATATATATATATGTATATATATATATTTATATATATATATATATATATATATATATATATATATATATATATATATATATATATATATATATATATATATATATATTTACAAAAATAAAATAATAGAAGATAAAATGGGTCTACAACAACAAATAACAATACTCAACACCAATTTCCACGTCCACAGCCACACTACAACCAACTGCTTCACACACTAGCGCACGCTCATCTGACACACCTCGCGTGAACACAACTCGCTCCATGTAAACACACTCAACCAAGGGCTACAACTATACACAAAATTGAAGGTACCTGTCTAAGGGCGTATAGCAACAGACAAATACCACATATACAACAGTAGATAACACTAACACTCTATAAATAATAGTAAGAGATTATATATATATGTATATATTTATATATATATATATATATATATATATATATATATATATATATATATATATATATATATATATATATGTATATGTATATATGTATATATATATATATATATATATATATATATATATATATATATATATATATATACACATATATATAATAAAAAAAATAATATAAGATAAACATACTCAACACCAATTTCCACAGCTACAGCTACGTCCACAGACACAATACAACCAACTGCTTCACACACTAGCACACGCTCTGCAAGCTGTCACCTGACACACCTCGCGTGAACATCACTCGCTCCATGTAAACACACTCAACCAAGGGCTACAACTATACACAAAATTGAGGGTACCTGTCGTTTGAGTACACAACACACACAAACAGGGGACATGTAAGGGACGTAACAAATGCCATTTTTTATATTATAAAGTAATTAACCAACGTGCTGTTTATAAATGACATCTCGCTAACTCTGTAGATTTCCATTCTCACCTTCCATTTGACACACATCGTCATACAATGTCAGACGGCCCCGCTCCCTACAATAAATTGACCACTTTAATTATATTTTATATCAGCGTATTTTCGATTTTTCTATTTTTTTTAACATCTGCGATCACCACGCAGGTTCTTCAAAATACGCGATCGATACAAAATAACGATTTACTACTTAAGTAATTAGTGGTTTAACTTGCCATCCATAAAGGTATTAAAGCATACAACAATCTTTCAATAACTGTAAGATGCGGAATCACGTTAAACAAATGTATAACACTCTACCTCCCCTTCACCCAGATCTCACGTATGGTACATGTGCTAAAGGCGTTAAATAAACACAACACTTAACACAACAATAAACATGATTTAACATCAACGTTGAATGATCTCGATAAAATGTTCGGAAAAGGGTTTTTTTTTTTTGTATTTTTAAATCAATATCAATTTGTGTACTGTTGTCTCTCTATAGTGTATCGAAACAACACGGTGTGTGTTGTCAAGTAAAAGCGAAATGTGTGGGACGTGTGTGTTGTTAAGTACAAGTGAAATGTGTGGACGTGTGTGTTGTCAAGTACAAGTGAAATGTGTGGGATGTGTGTTGTCAAGTACAAGCGAAATGTGTGGGATGTGTGTTGTCAAGTACAAGTGAAATGTGTGGGACGTGTGTGTTGTCAAGTACAAGTGAAATGTGTGGGACGTGTGTGTTGTCAAGTACAAGTGAAATGTGTGGGACGTGTGTGTTGTCAAGTACAAGTGAAATGTGTGGACGTGTGTGTTGTCAAGTACAAGTGAAATGTGTGGACGTGTGTGTTGTCAAGTACAAGTGAAATGTGTGGGACGTGTGTGTTGTCAAGTACAAGTGAAATGTGTGGGATGTGTGTGTTGTCAAGTACAAGTGAAATGTGTGGGATGTGTGTTGTCAAGTACAAGTGAAATGTGTGGGATGTGTGTTGTTAAGTACAAGTGAAATGTGTGGGATGTGTGTGTTGTCAAGTACAAGTGAAATGTGTGGGATGTGTGTTGTCAAGTACAAGTGAAATGTGTGGGATGTGTGTTGTCAAGTACAAGTGAAATGTGTGGGATGTGTGTTGTCAAGTACAAGTGAAATGTGTGGGATGTGTGTTGTCAAGTACAAGTGAAATGTGTGGGATGTGTGTTGTCAAGTACAAGCAAGGACATAGGAACCAGAGTGTGAATTGTGAGTCATTCAAGGCAAGACAAAGGAAATCTTTTCAGGACATGTGTGTTGTATTTTGAAGGTCTGTTGCCGGATAATCAATATGGGTAACCAGATGGTTAACTGACGGGTTCACCTTATATTTTCCTCTATACGTCACTACGATAATAAGGTGTGCATGAAGTTAATAATAGTTATGAGTATATTTTCTTATATTATTGCAATGTTTTTATTTATTTAGTCTAAAGATTTAACCTTGTTATTTTGATAGGTTGTGCTATGTTTACATTGAAATGTAAGCAGATTAAGTTTCACAAGGATTACGAAACAAGGAGTGTGCGTTTCTTGCTTTATGTTGTGTTGTGTTTATATTTTGTGTTGTATCTTGGTTTGTGTGATACATTTTTTTAGTTTTAGACCTTTAGTGTATGTTGTCAATTTCTTTCTCGTCGAAGTATACTTTTTGAATGAATCTTAGAGCATTGCAAAGCAATGACATACTGATATATATATATATATATATATATATATATATATATATATATATATATATATATATATATATATATATGTATATATATATATATATATATATATATATATATATATATATATATATATATGACGCCTGTGTGTCGACTCGCCGCTCTCCCTTCGACACAGACATAGCAAAATGAAGATCAAGCTTTATTGAAATTACTGTTGTCTGTGTGTCTGTCATGCTCTAGAAAAAAAAGGAAAATAATAACTTCCACAATCAAACGAAACCGTCCCCGACCGTGACATCACATGGAACAAATGGAAATTTTCAAAACGAAGCGAATTTCTTAAAAATAATGACGTCATCCATACTCTAAGATACAGACTCTATTATTACCGCCTAACCTTCTTTCTTCTTCGTTCATAATTCTAGTGTTGGAAGGGATTCCCTCCAACACAATTAAGTATAGCCTACTGTCAACAGTATTCGCTAATGAGGCCATTGAGTACGATTTCAGCCTGCTTTTCTTTTTTGATTTGCTTCCATAAATGTTGTCCAACCAAGAACAAACTACGATTCAGCAGTTATTAGATTTTGGAGTTGTCTCTTCTAGAAGAGTGGCTGTCCCAAGCTAACGAGCCTCATCTGTCCGAGGTTTTGAACTCGAGACTTTTCGATTTAGCAACCATGAGCTTTACTGACTCGACCCGACCTTACCGCATTATGTTTTGGTCTAATCTTAAAGTGTTTTGCACTGCAAGTTGAGTTTCTTTCTCTTTGGGTAGGGGGCAGAACACCTCCCCCCCCCGTCGTCGAAGAACGTCTACCGCCCCCCCCTCCCATCCCCACACTCCCGAACAAAATACAATTGATATAGGACTTAATTTATATTTTTACTAGTGTTTCTGGCCATTTATCTTTTAACATAACGTATTCACTGACATGACAAAAATATGAACATAAAAAGGTTCACACGAAGGTAGTTTATGTGTGTGTGTGTGCACATTTTGTGATATATACATAAAAGCCATTTATTAGAAAAAAAGATCAACTTACACATTTAAATATATTATTTTCAGAAAACAACTTGTCGACATCAGTTAGGGACAAAATATTTACAACATTTTAAACAAATAGTCCCTAACATTCAGTATAGTAACGGTTAACTTTTTAAAATAATTTATTTGCAAAAAATGTTGATAACATATACAAGTCTTAACACAATGAAGGTTTCGCCATATTGTTTGTTTACATTGAGTAGACAAGGGGAGAAAACTAATTTTGACATCAGCCCCAGTACTCCCCACTATAATTTCCTTGAGAGTTTGATCCACTGTGGGGATGCAGATATAACACCACATATCCCGGCCTGTAGACAAACGCTCCACTGGAGCCTGGACATGTGCATGCATTGTACACGTACCTGGTCCAGGTGATTTCATCCTCGAAATTATCATCCCTCTCATATTTGTGTGTCCATCGTCCTACAGAGACCTGTTTAGGAAAGCCATGAGGATGTGACACTATAATGGTCAACTTGTCCACATCAACAAAACTCTTGTATTTGTCCCATACTTCCCTACATAGACCATCAAAGCGCTGACACATCTTGTCCAGTTCATCAACCAATTCGAAGTTACATGTAAAATATTTCAACTCACACCTGTCACTCTCAATGTTTGCTCCACCCTCCGCCTCCCAACCATCAAGACTGACTACTGGACTTTTATTGTCATCAAAACCTAAAACACACCTGGTCTGCTTCGCCTCACTGTCATCAAACACCACATGTGTGGCTGTCAATACACAAATCTCCCCCCACACTTTGCTGGGTGTGGAAGAGATTTGACACTTGGCACAACGACAAGTTCCTTTTTTGTCAATCTCTGTGTACTTATCCACTCGCCACACCCTCCCTGTCCCTAACCTGATCACGCGACGTCCTCTCTCCTTATAAAATGGATATGGAGCTTGAGTTCCTGGGTAAAACTCTGGTCTCTCTAGACTGGTGAATTTAGTCTTTAACTGGACAGTTAGGGCTGCCAATGTTTTGATTGTCTCATATAAGAGGTCGTCGTCATGATAACGTGAGGGGAGGTAATTTATGTTGAAATCTTTAAGAGGTATAAAGTCTTTGTGACCTGGATTTTTCTTACAGCCAGTAACATGTTTGTTTAGATCAGGTTCTGCGCCATAGCAAATCTCAGCATCATGATTTCCTGCAGGAATAGGGGAAACAGATTCTTTAAGCAGTCTAAAACTGGTAAAAACATATAAGTAGCCTATTATTAGTATTATTTTGTTTAGCGATACTGTGTTCAAACTAACACTTAATTTAGCATGCTGATAAAGATATACATTAAAGGGAAACTTTTGCCATTTCTTTCATTTAATCAACTATAAATTTACAATAATAAAATAATCTACATGTTATCACTAGCACAGATTTATAACTGATTAAACTAGAGTTGTCTTATGCTTGTCATATCTCACCTAGATAAAAGACACCAGCTTGGTCAGTTTTGATAACTTTATCTGGATTCTCAAAATATGGCACATCTAAAATAAAATAGTAATCAATTAACAAATACATTGCTTTATAATTACAACGAAAAGAATTGTGACATTACTGTGAAAAATTCTTTTAGTTTGTTTTTTGCACTCACACAGGTCATAGTCATTTGAAAAAAAAAATGTTTAATATTTCATAGGGTAATAGAATTTACTTTTACACGTATAAAAACGCGTGTAGGTTATAAAGGAATTGATTTTTAAAGTTTTTAAATGTAAAAAAATGCAATAATACTTTTTAGATTACCTAAATTACTTAAAGATTTGGTTAAATGAATGATTTAACTGTAACCCTCACTCAGTGGGGATGCTTTTACCCACTGAGGTGTTGGGGTTAAGACGGGCTGACCCTGAGATTTAGGACACACTGACACCGACAGTTGTTGTCAAGTAGGCCTACTGGCTTTATTCACTGCATCGAGCCATGACAGTGATGCATAACACAGTAGTACGACGATTTCAAAACAGAGAGAAAAAAACCGAAGAAAATAGAAACAAAGAAAACTGTAGCCCTAAAACAAATGTAAAGAAAAAGTTACATTCATGATAACCCCACGTGTAGGCTACAACATACACTGGTAAAATAAAATATGTTTCGGCCAGTACACAGTACTGCCAACAAGTACCAATAAGTAGTACAACAAATAAATACTTAAATAAATACTCAACCTAACTAGTGTGCACATGCAGCACTAGCAGGAATACACAAATAAATATTCTAACAATAAACATAATTTTATAACCACACTACCTACATTAGGTCTACATCTTGGTACCGTGTCCACAGACAACAGCCTTGCGTGTGACTGACACGGCTAGGAACGAAATTACGCATAGTCCCATGTCACATGACATGGGACACAGGTAACATCGCTCACAAGAGCATGCAATACAACTACGTCAACAGGGCTACGGCCCCACAGGGGCCGCAACTGAATGAATTAAAACTTTATTTGTTATCCCCCCCCCCCTTGGCTGGTAACCATATGTGTTACATAACATTTATCTGGCTCTACCTTCAGATGTACTTGATGGCTCCAATTTTCTTTTTCTCACTTTGTTCGGGGTTTCCATGGTTTGTGTTACTGTAGATATGAAAATAGATCGATTGCTTAATAATTGCACTAGTGTTGAATGTAAACAAAGAGAATATTTTAAAAATAATTTTACATCGGTGTATAAACGTTTCTCAAGTTTAAGAAAAGGGTACTAACTCAAAGTATAATTGTTTTTCTCCTAATAGTGAAAAACTAGATACAATGTATACCACAACAAAAAAAATAAAAATAAACCCACTTGGCTTAGTTCGACAGGCACGACGGAGAGCTACTGACCTATTATTTTTGTGTTTTAAGAGATGTTGAGTAATTTATTACGCACATTGTGCCCCGTAGAATACGTAATTGCTTATATTTGATATTTCAGTACTAGTGAATGCAGGTCCATTGTAAGTCTGCTGTACTGGAACATTTTCAAAGGCAACACAAAAGCAGTAACTAATAAAAAATAAATTCAATGATCTGAAAGGCAAGGACAATACTTTAGTTTGACCAAATAATTTATGTGACAAATAACATATTTTAACGCTATTTTTCAAAATGTTGCATCTACTAGATTATTAGATTTTTTAAGCATGTTTTTATCTCATCTCAGCTTTTACAGTTTCTTCATGCTTCGATATTTTAGCATTTATAATAATAAACTATTTATTTTTTAATGTAAACCATTCTATATAAAACATATTGTAATAATTTATTATCCTTGTCTTAATGTTCCATTAGCCTTTCTGTCAACTTGTTTTTTACAAAGATTACGAAACAAAAATTGTTGCGTTTATTGTTTTATGTTGTGTCGTTTGTATATTTTGTGTTGTCTCTTGGTTTGTTTGAAGGATTTTGTTGTGTTTTAGAACTACATTGTGTTTTGTTATTTTTTTTCCGTCATAGAGTAAATGAATCTTACACCGTAGCAAAACAATTACTATATATATATATATATGTATATATATATATTGCGCCTGTTTGTCGACTCACCGCTTCACTAACCTGAAAACCTATATACTCCTCTGACACAAACTTAGCTAAATGCAGATCAAGCACTTCTAAAAATAATGTTATTAATTTCTTATTAAGGTTTCAATTGTGTTTTTATACAATAATCGCAATTAATGCACATAATTGATACAATTATAAATACATGATTATACTACAAATAATTATAAAGTAAGACATTTAAACAAAATATAAACTCTACCTTTGGCTGTGAATTAAAAGGTTTTCAAAATGGCCGTGTAGTCAGGTACTACACCATTGTATTTTTAACATAACTGTAAAAATAAATATGGATTTTCCCGCTGTTACTTCTGTATGAAAAATTAAGACACCGCATTGGATAAAAAACGAATTGTATATTTGAGTCTTATTTGTTTACGTAAATATTATAGAACATAAAATATTGTAAAAATGTGTACTATTACACGTCTTGTATGTAGTGAAGTACCTACGGATAGCGAAGAACAACAAATAAATTAAAAAATTACAATCCTGAAAGTTAGTCATTATATATATTTTATATTACATTAAATCCAAATTTAGCCAATTTCATTGCTAAATAAAGATTTAATTAAAATAATTAAGGCCTGAAATAGTGAAGTGTAGAAACTCATTATTTGCCTTAATTCTAGATTCTAGATAGAGGTAGATCTAAAATCTACGGCTGCCTTAAGTCTAGTTTATCCGTAGCTCTAGATAAATCCCTTGTATTTTCGAATTAGATGATATTTGAAGCTAAACCAAATATTTACATCAAACATTTAAGGACTAAAACAGTTTAATATATAGACTCAATTATTTATGATTTAATGTGTTTTTATTGCGTATTACATATTGATGTAATTTTTCTTTTCATATACTTGTTTTTGGTTACGTCTTAAAGTTTTTTTTTCGGTATAATTTGCCTTTTATTAGTCCTATACGTTTCAAGTGACGGCACTGTATGTCCCTGTATTTTTCTCTTAAACTATTTTTGGCTTGGCTTTAATATCAATTGACGTTATTAAGCCGGTGAAAGTTTTTGATATTTTTTAAAAAAGTCTTTGTTCTGAACTTTTATAACTAAAGGACTGTATCTTCAAAAAAATATATCAATACATTCATTAACGTGTTTAAAAAAATGTGTGTGTTAACATTTTGGTTAAAAAGAACACAAAATTCATGTAGTACAGATGCTCTCATTATCAACTTTAATTTGTAATTCGGCTTATTATAATAGAATCTCAATTTTTTTTTCGCAATATGTCAACACAATTATGAATAGCAAAAAATGTGTCTTTCTTTTTCTTTAATAGACACAAAACTAACGAAAAATGTTGTCAGAATCTCTCTTAGTGAGGATTGAAGACTAAACAGTTTTTGTAATAGAACGTGTAAACAATATTATATAACACAAATATTCCTATAAAAATAAATTATTTAAGTACAATAAGCAATAACAAACACACATTCAATACCAAGCTCAAGGTTATATATATATATATACGTATACTTTTATATAACAACATACAGACAGTCTGGCTGAACAAAATGAATTGGTGTATAGGCATTATATTTGCAATGCTTAGTAGAGTGAGTGGTCTTTACCATTCTAACTTACAGTTGCTCAACCTAATATCCATGTTGTATTTCATGTTGGAAGTCATAAAATTTGTGACATATTGTTAATATGTCGTTACATTTCTTACAAAGATATTTCCTTCAAAACTGTCATACTATCAAACACTAGAATTCGAAAACAAGATTAAGGTCAATCATTTTATTTATGAGGACGCGTATACTAAGGCTAGGTTAGGTCAAGGCTGAAATTGATTCACAAGAAAATATGTTGTTGCTGGCTAACGTTATATAATTCGGATAGTAAAATAAAAATGCCCTTTGATGTATCGTTCAAACACAAAGCTTCTTTTATATTTTGTTCTAAAAATACAATTTCATAGTATTGATTAGAAATATTGACAGCTGCATCATAATCTCCTTTGGTAATTCATACATATGTCTATGTCCATGTCCATGTCCATGCCCATGCCCATGCCCATGCCCATGCCCATGCCCATGCCCATGCCCATGCCCATGCCCATGCCCATGTCCATGTCCATGTCCATGTCGATGCACATGCCCATGCCCATGTCCATCTATGAAACCTCCCTTTGAAAGTGGTATGCCACTGAGATGTTTGTCAACTCGAGGGTGTGGAGGAATGTTGAGTGGCGTTAACAAAGTAAACCTATTGTTATTTTTTCTTGTGGTCGGTGTAAATTACATGTAAATGGTATAGATTCTCTTTGCAGTGTGTGTTTTATATACTCTTTATACGCTTGGCCCAAACAAGCCCAAAATACACACTAAGCCAAGTGTAACAATTTTGTTTAAAATCCGGGATTTGAACAGGCACAGTGTCTGTGTCTGTGTTTTGGCTGTTCGGAATTTGTACAAAATGTGTACACATTACATACCCAATAGGTACACAATACACAGCGCTAAGCCGTGCGTGAAACTGAAACCACATGCTTTCAAAACCGTTGCAAATTGAAATCTATTAAAAAGATAAAAGAATAGCCAGAACAAAATATTTATTGATTTATAATAACTTGGCTGGTTAGTTCACAGAGAAGAGAAAAATAATATAAAGAATGGTAGAGTTATGTATATTACTAGGGCTAGGTGTAGGGCTAGGGCTAGGGCTAGGGCTAGGGCTAGGGCTAGGGCTAGGGCTAGGGCTAGGGCTAGGGCTAGGGCTAGGGCTAGGGCTAGGGCTAGGGCTAGGGCTAGGGCTAGGGCTAGGGCTAGGGCTAGGGCTAGGGCTAGGGCTAGGGCTAGGGCTAGGGCTAGGGCTAGGGCTAGGGCTAGGGCTAGGGCTAGGGCTAGGGCTAGGGCTAGGGCTAGGGCTAGGGCTAGGGCTAGGGCTAGGGCTAGGGCTAGGGCTAGGGCTAGGGCTAGGGCTAGGGCTAGGGCTAGGGCTAGGGCTAGGGCTAGGGCTAGGGCTAGGGCTAGGGCTAGGGCAAGGGCTAGGGCTAGGGCTAGGGCTAGGGCTAGGGCTAGGGCTAGGGCTAGGGCTAGGGCTAGGGCTAGGGCTAGGGCTAGGGCTAGGGCTAGGGCTAGGGCTAGGGCTAGGGCTAGGGCTAGGGCTAGGGCTAGGGCTAGGGCTAGTGCTAGGGCTGGGGCTAGGGCTGGGGTTAGGGCTAGGGCTGTGGATAGGGCTAGGGCTAGGGCTAGGGCTAGGGCTAGGGCTAGGGCTAGGGCTAGGGCTAGGGCTAGTGCTAGGGCTAGGGATAGGGCTAGGGCTAGGGCTAGGGCTAGGGCTAGGACTAGGGCTAGGGCTAGGGCTAGGGCTAGGGCTAGGGCTAGGGCTAGGGCTAGGGCTAGGGAAAAAAATCAAATTCGCAGTGATGGCAACCCGGCAGGGCGTGATTTGATTCTTCTCTATACAAGGTATATAAAAAAAAGTCAATTACGGTTTCACACCGTTCATCCGATCACCATGAAACTTTCGGGAGTTGAACACTACAGGGAAGGGTTCTGCAAAAAAATAAAATTTAATATACATTACACGGACGCTAAGCGTCCACACAATAATGACACTATTGCATCACATACATGAACACACATGAAGACGGAAGAATCTTTGTAACTCACAGCTAACGAGAATTCACTGCATTCATATATCGTTGGATAATCCAATGTTATGACTTAATATTATGGATAAAAATAAAAAGGCATTAGTAAAATCGAAACTCTGCCTCCATACCATCTCTCCCTTTCCCTGTTCCCTACTACGAATAAACATTATGTAAATAAAATATATGTATGGCAATGCAATTATATTATATTTTCATCTGTATTGATAATGTTGAAATAATGAGTTTGCGTCATTTAAAATCGAACCTGGCGGTCTATGACGCAGATGAAGTGTAGATAATCAGTTTCTTTGACATCAGCTTTTGTAAGGGAAATGTTGTCATGTTATGCAGCTGCTACATTCACTAACGTCATACAGGCTAGCCATGAGAGTACGATTGACACAGGGACGTTCATCCAACACAACCGCGAGATCCAAACTCTAGTCAATGGCGTAAGCAGACATGCGGCCTACCCTTCGACCACGTAGCCCCATGCTCAGTTATTTATATAACTTTTTGTTGTCTTCACCGAAACCCTTTTAAATAAATCAAATACGGTTTATCCAGTCTGAACAGAAAAACAATTGATCTAGTAATATATTCTTTCAAACCAACGTGTCTTCGTGATACATCGAATTATTGGGTTTATATAAGGTTTGTGGACACACGTATTTGTGAATATACTAATGCTTGTGTTTAAAGCTGTGTTTCTTTTTGTATGTTTTCTGTATGTGTGTATGCGTTGTGCATGAGTGTCTTTGTATATAATTGAAAAAAACTGTAACGTTTTGTTTCCCTCTAAACGTGCTAGATGTTTAATTTACTTTCTCGTCCGCGCGCTTATTTGTTCATTTGTTTTATTCGATCGTTTGATAGTTTGTTAGAACATTTGCAATGTTCTTTTCCTTTTTATTATTATTAATTTTTAAAATTAATTTGTTCGCTAGTTTGTTACTTCGCTCTCGAAATCGTTAATTTGTTTATTTGTTGTTTTTAATCATTCTGTCTTCGTTTCTGTGTTCACTTTTTTTTGTAGTTTGTTCATTTATTGTTTTAATAGCTCGTTTGTTTGTTTGTTCGTCCGCTCGCCCGATTGTTCGTACGCATATCTGTTCGTTTGTTTTTCGTACGTTTGTTCGTCCTCAACAAATGCACTACATTGCACAACTCAGTCAGGTTACGTCCAGGAAGACCACACTTGACTGTAACATGACTAATACTTACGCATGTCGAAACATTAGTGGTTTAATTTGATCGTCTGTTTGTTAATTTCTTGAATTGTTATTTTTAAGGGGTCGTCCACAAATGACATCACACTCACAGGGGGGAGGGGGTGTCCGTAATTTTGTGACGATGTGTTACGAGGGGGAGGGGGGGGGGGGTTCAGATGGTGCGACGTCACACTTTTGCATTATAAAAAAGCAATGTTAAAAAACGAATTTTAGACTTTATTTCGCGTTTTAGAAAACTTATTTTATAAATTGCAATGTTAATTGATTAAAATACTCTATTTTGACAGAGTTGAGACAAGAATTTGGAAAAATATCGATGTTTAAAGAAAAAAGGGGAGGGGGGAGGTAAAAAATCGTCCAAAAAAGCGTGACGTCATTTATGTATGACCCCTAAGTGCCGACTCGTTCACTCGTTTTTTACACGACAGTATTGTAGTTTCAACGGGTTGCGTCCCATATTAAAAGCTGATGAAATATTTCTAGAGGATTTCATCAATACTTTGCCAATCCTGTATTTTTAAACACTTGGCTTTGTTTTCTACAACCCAATTATTTCAATGTAAACAAACGCATATATATATATATAGTCATATATATATATATATATATATATATATATATAAATATATATATATATATATATATATATATATATATATATATATATATATATATATATATATATATATATATATTTTATAGTTATATATATATACCTATATATATGCTCTAGGAAAAATATCTGAAATAAACACTGCCTACACCTCTGCTTCTATTGACCATTCTCTTAATACGGGCTCTCATTCAATTGGTAGACACGTGTACATACGTATGGTAAGCTTTTAAAATGGTTGGGCACATCTGTATTACCTGTGGGTATGGCTTGCTACCTGTCAATCAAAGTGATTGACGTTTAAATTTCCGTTTAACGTATGCACATGGGTGTGGCATTTTCTTTTGAATCGGTGGTTGCACGCCAATTTGATAACAGTGATAGTCGTCGTAGTCAGCTTATGAAGGATTTCGATTTTTTGAAGTCTGTTTTTTTTTAGATTTATGGACGCTGTTGTAGGTTATTGGCTACATATGTTCTCATCCTGATTTGATTGATCAGTGCGTTGGCAGACTGTGTAATATAAGTCGCATGCTAAATTAAGGTACGTAAATCTATTTGACGTCTAAAGCTCAAACATTATCAGACTTAGGTAAGTTTATTTGTGTAGCATCATTTTGCTTTTTGTGTAACGAGTAGACTTTTTAAACTAACATTTTAAAGAAAATCATATTTTTAAAATAATAATAGTAGCAATACTTTCAATCTTGATGTTTTATATTTTTAGGGTTTAAATGATGAACTTTGCAACAAGTTTAAAAGTTAAAAGGAATATAATATAATAGTATTAATACATATTTTCCCTGTTATAATTTATATATTTAATAATGTGCATATACATAACACAGTTTAGAATTTTAAAAAAAAAACATAAAGCCTTAAAACATAAATGAATCAAACTAGTAAAAAATTTGGTGGCTTCCTGTACCAGCAAGGATGCGGAAATACATTGTAACCACATAGCCCAGCTTTTGCATAAACGCATCAAATTCGTCGTAAAAAACATAGGCGTATTTCAAAACGATATTAAGAGTACTCCAACCATATTCATGAGGTTAATCTTTTCATGGATCACGATAATCTGTAACCGCTTGCTCTTGATGACGCCCCTGCGACGCTCCTGACACTGAGCGCTCGTCGAAACGTGTTCTAGCTTAATATTTCAGAGGGTGATTCACGTACACATAATTATTTTCCTTCAGTAAAACGTGGGGTGACTTGGCTGTAGAGCAGGGGTCTCCAAACTACGTCCTGCAGGCCGGATGCGGCCCGCAAAGTCCTCTCATCCGGCCCGTGGAGATCTTTTTGTCCATGGAAAAATTGTTTGTTGGTGATGGCTGAGGAACTTTGCCCAGAAAAATCAAAGACATGCCTGGAAGAAAATGGCCCCCGAACTGAAATTTGATAGTTAATGTGGCCCTCGGATTGAAAAGTTTGGAGACCCCTGCTGTAGAGTATACAAAAAATAAGATCCAATAATTATATTTAATAAACCTCAAACATCTACAAGTACTTTGCCTTATTTTTGTGTGGTACCAGGTAGCAGCAAACTGCGACGGGTACGCTAGTATAAACATTTTTTGAAAAACTACTGTATTGTTGTCAAACGTTTGTGTAGATTTATCCGCAGATTGGCGAACTAACATTCTCGAGAATGTGGATTGGACAATTATCTCAACTAGTGGTGTCAGTTTTGGTGCTTTTCATCATCAACTCTCCTGGGGCAGTAGGTGAGTTCGCTTCTCAATAGCCATGTAATGACGTAACCATAAAACAACTACATAAAAACTATTAATGAGCCTTTTAATGCACTGAAAATATAGGTATGTAAAGAAAAATTATTAGCTGCTTGTTAGGGAACTTGCCGGTGCCAAAAACTCTTCAAATTTTGCAAATGGTCACGTCAGGCAAATACAACAAGGGGGCAAATGCCGATCGACAACACAGTTCAAGATCAACCGGAAACTGACCCCCTAGTGACAAGTGTTTATTATGAGCTAAATATTAAAAATAATTCTCCAACGTTAAAATCTCTGATAATTTCTTAGTTCGTAGGACGACCCCGCTAGTAACAACCAAAAAAAAAAGTTTCCTATCGGGAGTCCTGCATGGCCGATAAAAGCGAAAACAGGCCGTATTTCCGTATATTAACATTGTTATTTTTTGTGAAAACAGAGGAAAATTTCAAAACGTTATTTAGTGTACTTTCAGTGTTTGTTCCAGGCGTCTCTTCTCTTTTATATAGAAAACATATTATACCTTTACCAGTCTCCGCACCCGCAACACCCCTGAAAATGTCAAGTGCCCCCAGATAATAAAGTCTGAAAGAAACACTATATACATAGGCTCTGTAGATCTGGCTAATAGTTTGCCTTGACCTATATAATTCAGTCGGCGATTTAGGACAATTTTCGTTCAGACTCTACGCCCTAACAGATCTAAAAACGGAACTAGAGTTAAATCGTTTTTATGAAAGCTTTATATTGAAAATAAAACCCCGCGTCAAAGTCCTCTAATAATTCATGAGGTCTTAAAAAGACCCATGTGGGTACCATAAATTGTGTTCCCTACGAGAAAACCCCCAAATAACAGTTATAAGTGATACAATGTCGTATTTTCTTTTTTAAGATTGTACATTTTTTGTGAACAAAACTGAATAATGATGACTTTATTTAGACTCTTTGTTAGCAAAGTAACTTTTTAACGTAATGGTTTTCAAATGCAATTATACTTTTTGAGACAAGAAAAATAATTCAACATCAATATATTTAATTAGATTAAAACTTTCCGTGATAAAGTAATTATTTCACTAATTCTCATTGTTTATAAAAAAAATGAAAATATACTGCTTAAACGTGTACACTATAACAGTCCACAAAGCATCTATTCATCAATTAATCAGTTATTACATTTCTCAGGTTTAACATACAGTGAAATTAAACCTTTTGTATTAAGTCGTATAAAAACATTTTAGTGAATTAAAGTACAGGTCAGAAAAAAGATCTATTACATTATTAATTTAAATTTTTGTCAGTACTTACAAGCCGATTATTACACGGCGTATGCAGAAGTTAAGATGTTTATCAAAATTTGTTCGAAACCTAAGTGAAGCTAGGCAAAATGGCAAGTAAGAAAATAAAACAAACCTACAATATATGTTAAAAGCATCGGTCACTCACAAACAGGGAGGGACTGTCTGCGTTTTGTGTATATGGGCTTATAGGCTATATGAGTTTTATATGGCAATGTTTTCTCTATGTCTGCTCCTTGCCTTGGCTGAATATGGTTGGGGTATGTGATTGTTTTTTGCTGGAGTTGGCGTTGACGGGAGAGGTTGGCAAGGATGTGCGCATTTAACTGTATGTCTAATCATCTAAAACAATCGTATCTTAGTCTGCAAACTAAGTGGCATTAAAAAATAATACATATTAGATAACAATATAAAGTAGCATCTAGTTATGTACATAGATGACGAACTTTTTACAAAGAAAGAAAACTATTAATAGAAAGTTAAATTTATTCAACAACCAAGGGACAGGTTCAACTCTGTGGGACGGCGGTAAATGGGTTGATGGAAGATGTTTTCTGTTGGTTAGAGAGTCAGCTACATGGGTCAATGCCTTGGTAAGTTAACGTCTTTAAAATCAAGTTTCTTAATGCAACTCATTCCTAGACCGTACACAATTTAAACCCAATAGATCATTTCTATGTTTTTAAAATAAAATCTGAATCTACACATTGTATTCCCAAATGTTGTAATAGTACTACGGATAACGCTGTACCTGTCTTCCTAATGCTTCTGCTATATTATTGTATAACTATAAGTATTTGGAAGGTACGTACAGTAGAATAGGGAAAGAGAATAGTAGGGGGAGGCCAAGAGGTCTTAAATATTCTGTTTTACAATAATTTGCTTTCAAATGGCCCAATGTCAACGGATATTGGGAAACAATAAAAAGAATAAGATACCCTTTCAGGTAACTGGTAATCGCTCATATACAATCAAGGTAGCCTTTGTAGAATCATGAGTAATATATTTGCGAACATTCCATCAATTTAATTAATTTAAATTCAAGCACTTTACAAAACAGCTATCACCACTTACTTAATCATTCAAATTTTCAAACGTTTTTCGAAAAATCTAAGCGAAGCTAGGCAGTATGCCTTATGTAAATATACATACATAGATACGTATATATATATATATATATATATATACATATATATATATAAGGGATATGTTGCTACACTTGTCTTGTTAATAAAAATGTGTTCGCAGTAAACGTTTTCTATTCCACAATAAAATTCTTTGTCTGACAGTCTGCATGTCAAAACATTGGGGGTACTCTGGCAACGATTACATCGCAAACACAGTTGGCGGCCCTGAGAGCAGCGTTTAGTATCTATAGTATGTTCAAGCTTTTTCTTTGAAATCATCAATGTAATCTATGTAAACCTCCCTCATGACAACCAAAGTATAGGTCTTAAAATAACCGGTTGAAATTTAATACGTCATATATATATATATATATATATATATATATATATATATATATATATATATATATACATATATATATATATATATATATATATATATATATATATATATATATATATATATATATATATATATATATATATATATATATATTTATTTATAAACAAAATGAAGGATATAATTATTATTATTACAAACAAGTCATCAAAATATTTAAAAAAAAAGAAAAAAAAACAACAACAACAATACAAACAAAAAGTTACTAAGTGCTTTCTTTAACAATGAATATATCAATGTCTTGACTTTAGACGAAGAGTTCTGGATTGGTGCTAATGATAGAGTGACTGAACAAACTTTTGTTTGGACTGAAGATCTGAGCTCGGCTAGTGTGATATATAGTTGGTGGGACTCTGATGCTCCACACCTAGCTAGACCGAACATTTGGCACTGCGTCACTATGAGACAAACTAACAAAGTGTATGACAACAGATGCGATTATTTTCTAGCAATCTACATGTGCATGGAACCCAGTAAGTTGAATATCTTGTTTACGTGTTATTACTTTTGTTTTGTCACATTGTATTTCAAAATAAGTCCCCAAAATAGTAATGTGACCATTAACCGCCATCTTGCATTTGTCTACGTCCCCACAAGTTGCTCGCATTCATATTTCTGTCTCCCTCCCCGCCTTCACTTTCCATCAGTTATTTCAGCGCACAGATCGCTATCGCTGGTCATCTGACTAAGCGGCCAATCATACCATTGGCTAGACCAACACGTGTACACCTAACGCAGTATTTAGTCTGGATATAGGTAATCATCACGTGATACGCAAATTACAGGTGCACGGGGAGTTCAGGGTCCTCGGCTTTACTTCCACGTGCTCTGGGTTCAGTTTGACTTAGTTTTTTTTTTTTTACTGTACCAATTTTGGTATTCATGATATTTGATAACCTGTCTATTAAGTAGATTTAATAAATACCATACAATTATTATCTTGCTGCTATTCATAGTTACTTACTTACTTTACTTACTTACTTAATTCTCATCACTCCCTGTGGAGTATAGGACAGCAACAAATCTCCGCCATTCCACCCTGTCCTGGGCGAGCCACTTTAATTCATGCAAGGTCTTTCCAGTAGCCTGCACTTTTTCTTCCATCTCCCTCCTCCATGTTCCCAGTGGTCTTCCTACTTTACACTGTTACCCATTTCTTGATTAGTCCATGTGGCAGTCGATAACTTACTTAATTAAACTTTACACTGCTGGTGTCTTAGCACACGGGGCAATTGAATACTTATTTTACTTAAACTATTCCTGTCCGCGTTGAACTTCCACGTGAGAGTTGAGTGTGCATTTCAGTTACCTACTATAATACTTTCATCCTCCGCGTGTATCAGCAACTTAGCTGTAGATACGATAATATTATACACTGCATTATTTTATTTTACTACAGGCTGTAAAGCCTTGCTAGAGTCAAGGCGTCATCTGAACTGGTAAAAAATCCATTATCATTTTCATAAGGCTGTAAACACTGTGCATAATATGCCACTGAGTCATCAGACCTGAATGATACTACATATATTTATAATATACGTTATACCCGGTAGAGAAATGGCATAGACCCTCCTACCGGTAGAATGTTTTATTTTCAATTAACACGGTAGATGTAGCCTATACTCTTTACCGTTGGAAAGCAAGTTTGATGTTTCGATAGTGTGGCTACACATCGAGGCAAACACTTACTCAAGTAAAAAATGTAATTTGCAGATTACTTTTATACACCAATCATTAGGAATACTATTCTTAACTTTGTTCAACTGCGTTTAAAGTTAACAACAACAACTATAGTTAAAAATCAGTATTCAACCACACACGATCTGTTTCTACTCAAAATACACGACTTGCAATAATTTTAAAAATGCAGTACAAAATTAAATAATCAAAAATAGGATCGTTGGATTTGTAAATTTCTGTTGCTGTTACGAAACACAAATTATTTCATACACAGTTAAAATGTTTTTGTTTGCTTAAAATATATCAACGTTACATTATTTTTAGATTCGCGTACAACAAAATGTATTGCTCCTACAACAACAGAGGATGTTACTACGACAACAACTGGTTGGTTTTTCTTAAATTAACATTAACTAATAATGTTTTTAAACTGTATGTCTATAATAAAAAGACAGGTATTGTGCATATGTTACAAATATCAGAATAGAGCTGGGGAAACAAACTTATATTGTGTAAGTTTACTCTAAAAAATCTTGCATTATTACAATTAGATTATATACCTATACGGGCTTCTTCAAACTTTTTCAGAGCCTTACACACAGCCTACTTATTAATCTCTCTCTCTCTCTCTCTCTCTCTCTCGCTATATATATATATATATATATATATATATATATATATATATATATATATATATATATTTATATATATATATATACACATATATATATATAATCCAATATGTGTGTGAGTGTATGTCTGTCTGTCTTTTATGTATTACTATATCTTTTATCTGATCGCTATTAGTTGCTTAGGGAAGGATTCTATGAAAAAAAAGAATTTTCAAATTCGCAGGGATAGCGGCCCGGTAGGGCGCGATTTAATTCTTCTTTAAATGTGATATATAAAACTAAAAGTAGACTGCCATTTTGCAACGGTCATCCGATCGAAATGAATACTTGGGGAGTTGATGAGAACACTCCAGTGGAGGTTTCTGTTGAGGTTTCTGCAAAAAAATAATCTTTTTTTAATTTCGCACTGGCGGCGCCTGTAAGGGTGCGATTGTTATCTATATATTAATATATGTTTTATAAAATATAAAAGTCGTGTGCGGTTCAACACCGTTCATCCGATTACCATGAAACTTCGGGGAGTTGATGAGAATACTCTCAAGAGGGTTCCCGCGAAAAAAAATTCTCATGGAGGGTGCGATTTTTGGCAATAGATTGTTTAGCGCCCGAAACTCCAGAGCTGCTATCTTGGTATCAATTAATCGGGCGCCCTGCGTAGCTGGTAAGGAGTACTACTATATTCAACGTTAAAGCTTTCACAGCCGCAGCCGCGGGCGCCCCGACTATTGCGCGACCCGAATAGCCTCAGGAGCACCTGTGAGCACTATAGAGCATACGTTCGTTTTTTTTAATGACACAATGGGCCACAATAATCGTTGACTACATCGAAGCAAGCGCGTCCCCCAGCGCCCCCTGAAGGGTGCGATCTCGCACGGCGGGTTTTCCATGTGCGCAATGGTGACAACGTTCGTTCTAAACAGTGCAATAAAACATTGGATAAGACGGGGCGCTATAGTCGCTCACTAATCAGGCGCGTCCGCCGGCATACCGGCGCTATCCTATGAGCACTATGGCGCCTACGTACAATATTGACAAGGCGACACACAACATGCGATGATTAAACCTAGCCAATGGCCGTACGCGGCGTCCCTTATGTACTGTAATCCGGGGCACTAGATAGCGACCCTCTACGTCCCCGACACTTAGGAGGTGAGTAATTTACTTTGATATTACGATGAGTGATGATTTTACACTCAAGGCTTTCACACAGTACGCCCCCCCCCCCAAATCCGGCGTATTGGGCGGTAGTGTAGGTAAACCCGAGCCCCGATTAAAAAAAGATCCAAGCGCAGGCATTGTTTTGCGCATAAATAACTCAGTTTTAGAAAACAAGGTCACGCGTCTAAGCATATAAAATTGGTAAAGTATTGATGAAACCCTACTAATATATTTCGTCAGACTTTTATTTGTGTTTCATGCATTACTATACCTTTCATCCGATCGTCATGAATCTCTGAGGATGTTTTGTTGAGAATACCTTTTGAGAGGTTTCTGTGAAATAAAATCAATTTCTCACTGGCGGCGCCCCGGCAGGGTACGATTTGGCGCCCATGGCTATCCCTTGAGCGCTAAGGTGCATAAGTTCGTTTTAAAGAGTGTGATAGAATATGAATAATTGCACTTTTGTTTACTAAATTGAATCAAGCGCGTCAGCCCGCGCCCCTTCAGGGTGCGATTTGCCCTGGGCAATCCTCGGAATTTCTTCTAACCCCCGTGTTAACGCGTGGGGACGGGAACGCTAATGTTTTATACATTTCCTTGGCTGTGTATTGAAAATCAACTATTTAGCGTTATTTCAGCCGTTTTTTGCTTATTTAGAAACGGTTACATTTTTTTTTTAAATCTTGATTCTTTTTTTTCAGTCTAAAAAAGGATGAGTTCCATTTATGAATTTTATTTTAAGAGAACATATCAACACTCCAGAAACATGCATGCATCGGATTTGAAAACTAACAAAAATTATATAAAATTTACACTTGGAAATAAATATAAATTGAAGTTTACATGAGTATACTAGTTTAATTATAAATATCAAAAATATATTAACTCTATAGCTTGCTTCAGAACCCTCTTCTACTACTTCGTCAACTGAAACCACTATAAATACCTTTTTAAAGCTTAAGCATTGAATTGTTAAGTCTAATTAAAATTATAAATATTTAAATTTGTTACAACATTGGAAGAATTTCTTTCAGAAACCACAACAACCCTACCAACTACCATGACGACTGAAACTATAAAATCTACAAGTACGTTTTTCAAATCCATTTAGTTATATTTATTTTAAACTGTTACATATGACCATTGAATTGATGCAAACATATTTTATTCTTACAAATTTATTTTAACTTATAGAGCGCCATTGCCACAAAGGTTAAGGACCAGAAGTTTTATCAGTCGTAAGTTCCTTTCAATTTATTTACTTAGTGACTTTTAAAACATGTTCCAATGTTATGTTGAGAATACCTTTTGAGAGGTTTCTGTGAAAAAAAATCAATTTCTCACGGGCGGCGCTCCGGCAGGGTGCGATTTGGCGCCCAGTGCTATCCCTTGAGCGCTAAGGTGCATACGTTCGTTTTGAAGAGTGTGATAGAATATGAATAAGAATTAATTGCACCTTTGTTTACTAAATTGAATCAAGCGCGTCGGCCCGCGCCCCTTCAGGGTGCGATTTGCCCTTGGCAGTCCTCGGAATTTCTTCTAACCCCCGTGCATTGAAAGACAATAAGATGTGTTTTATAAAACAATGACACATTCCTGGTAGAGGGAGCTCGGGGGAGAGGGAGTTTAGACTTTTTTGACCAAATTTGTCGAGGAGGAATAGGTGATGGATGTTCAGATAATGTCACCATATAAACTTCTTTTTCGTTGTACTGTTTGAAACTGCTTTTTCTAGCATTTGAACTCAATGTTGATTGTGCTTAGGTAGAAATGTTTAAATATAAACTTTGGGATGATGTTTATTCTGTTGTGTAGCTATTGGAAAGGCGAAACAAATTAATTTCAAAGTTTAACATGTATTAAATTACACAATTAATGTTAAAATATATTATATTTCATTTTTGTTTAATAGCTTTTGTGTCTTTTTTTTATTACAGATAGCATGACCTTCCATCGATCCGTGGGACGGTGCACTTGCTAAAATATTCGACAAACTTCGATTGATAATTTTGGAACATTGGATTAAAATTCTACATTAAATTTCTAAAAATATTAATTTGCAACAAAATCTTTTTTAAAGTTTCTTTGTAAATTATTATATTCCAATTAAAATTTTAGCTGCACAATGAACTAGACGTGTTTTATATTCTTAATTTTAATTGTTTAAATAATTGCAACCCAATAGAAGACTAAATAAAGCACCGAAGAAAAATAGCGTAAATAATAATTAAAAATATTTCAGCTTGTCTGTCGTACAATTAACCGAAGAAGGCTGTTTAAAACTTGGTGATCAATAGAGGAGTTATAGGCAATTATACCATTTTCCGTGTCTTTTGTATATATTAAGTGTAGTAATATTAGCTCTATCACAAGCTTTTGTTAGTCTCCACAACTTTCGGTTTTGTTTATAAAAAGTAGAGCAAGTTTTACTCAAGCATTGGAACTAGCCTTTAATGATAAAAGTCACACCGTACTACAATCAGTAGAGTACTACTTTGCTGTTTGTATGGTTGGTTCTGTAAAACTTAATTACTTGTCTCGGATAGGTAATTAGCATTTAACAATGACCGACATGTGTTGTCTTTACACGGGTATAATATAGAATCTGGGAAATCTAACTCTTCCTAACACCTCGCTTCTACTATTTAAATTTTTTGGGGAATGGCAAAACGAATTTTAGAAGTACAATTTGAAGTTGATAATAAGATTTTATCATTGATAACATATTTTTATTTTTTTATCCCTTAAAACACTTTAATAAATGTTCACATTATTAACAAAAAAAAAATGAAAAAAAATAATAATAAATAAATAAAAAATAAAAAAATTAAATAATCACTGTTGTTATGTAATCCAGTAATGCGGTAGTTACAGAAATAAAGCGACAGTGTTATCCCTTAAATTTTCTCCAATATTCTAATAAACACTAAGGGGTGCAATCGGGGTATAGACTTTTTTTTACACGTTTTTATTTTACTTGCTTCCTCTGCGTCAGTCGTCAGTCTGTCCAAAAAAAAAATAGATCGAAACGGACGAGCAAAATTTCGGGCACTTTTGACTAAGAGATTCATTTCAAAGTTGGAACCAGGTTACGACATAAAGTCAATGCAATATGACATTGAATTTGACTTAATTCGATGCCTAATTTTTTTTGTTAATGAATTTTTTCTAAAAATAGTACCACTCTTTCCACATTTTCATTTTCATTTGATGCGCAAATGTTTTAAGTCATACAACAAAAAAAAAGTACTGAAAAAAATTGCATAAAAACGTTTAAATAACAAGCGTTTATGTAAAAATTACTAAAATGGAGAAAATAAAACAATTTTTTTATATATAATAACAATACACTGTTATTTTAATTACTATAAAGAAAAGCGTGGGGAATAAAAGCGTGGATTAAAAGATAAAATACTTGCCAGCGTTTGCTTGATCAAAGGCCGTCGTGAGTAAAATTTAGTTGACTGATTTTAGGAGGCGCGAAGTAGGGTCAGTTTACTATCTTTTCGAGATCACAATATATTGAAAGGGTTTTACCGCACATATTTTTAGTCATATTAGTTGTGTCATCCACGACAAATGTTTACAAGCTCTGAACAAAGTGAAGTTAGTAGTGCTCAATAGGTTCTGATAATAGAGTTTTTATACAATTTGAAACTAAATGGAAGAAACAAATTTACTAGCCATCGCTTAATCAGAGTGTCGTCCGTGAACTGCAGTTGCTTCCACGCACCAGAACGGCCACGTACTCTGCGAAAAGGCAGACAATTGCCTTTCGGAGACCGCAAATTACTGATTGTGTTTTAATACACATAATTTTAGTAGTACACTTAATAAAGCTGTAAATTTCACTGTCGTTTTTTCAGGAATTTAATTACATTTAAATATACAAATGCTGACTTTGGTCAGTTTTGAGCGTTTTCTAATACTGCCACTGTTTTTTCCCGTCACTTTGACAACTTTTGCTACAGGTGATTTTCCACAATGGGGGTTCATCATACGTACTTTGCAAATTAGCAGTGTTTCTTTCAGACATTTACCTTTGTTATTTGGGGGGGGGGACATTGGTTGAAGTATATATTTTATATAGATATTGTATTTATAATTTTTAGTTTGAGGACGTGTTTTTGGAGGGGGGAGGAGTTCCATGCCGAAGAGATGCCTGAAAAATATGTTTTAAATGCGTATTTTGTCCTCGAACAGTTATGTAAAAAAAAAATAATAAACTCTTATCTTGGGGCTAAGCAATCAACCCATGCAGTTTCACTGGTTGCTGTCGACGAGACTATGTAAGGCGGTGAACATCGGTCACTTTTTGCCGCATCATCAAAGTCGTAGAGGTGGGTCGATAAATGTAACTTCCGGAGATTTAAATATAGATATATAGTGTGTTAGGGATGTTCGTGAGAGTGTATAGTTAGTTAGTGTTAGTAGGCAGTATATAGTATAGACTAGTTAGGGTATGAGTAGAACAATTTATTTGTGTTGATTAACAAACCGATGTAGTATATGTTGAATTGGACTTGTGTTCGATTTCTTAAAACTTTACCAGGTATATAAGAAATCCCCGTAAAAAAGATACTGCATTCGTCCATCCTCACAAGACAGCTGGTCAAAAATGTAAATGTAACTCGTTTTACATGGCAGAAGTCAGAAATCTTTTAGTGAAGCCAACGATTATAAAAAAAAGATGTTTTGTTTTTAGGATTAAGTTTCTAGTTATTTAAAATATATGTAAACAAAAAAATAGATAATTTATAAGAACATCTAGCTAGGGCCTATCTAGGCTAACATTTATATCTTTGATTTCTAGGACAACAATATTAGTTATGGACAAATATTTACAACATTTTAAAACCAAAACAACTCTAAAATTTAGAATGGTAGATGTCAAAAATAATCTTTAAATATTTTACATCCAATGAAACATTTGTTTTAATCATTTAAATGTAATAACGTGCAAGTCTTAGCACATAATTCCGCCATTTGTTTTATTACGTTGTGTAGACAAGGGGAGAGAACTAAAAGTTACGTTAGTCTTACCACTCCCCACTATAATTTCCTTTAGAGTTTGATCCACTGTGAGGATGGTGGTAAAACATGTCATGCCCCTGTCTATAGACAGGCGCTCCACTGGAGCCTGGACATGTACATGTTGTATACCAGTACCTGGTCATTGTTAAGTAATCGAACCTCTCACGTTTGTGTGTCCATTGTCCTACAGAGACCTGTTTAGGACAGCCATGAGGATGTGACACTATAACGGTCAACTTGTCCACGTCATCAAATCCCCTGTATTTGTCCTTTACTTCGTCACATAGATCCTCAAAGCGCTCATTTATCTTGTCCAGTTCATCAAGCAACTCTAAGTCACAAGTAGTATAATACAACTGACACTTGTCTCCCTCAATTTCTGCATCCTCCATCTCCCAGCCATCAAGACTGACCACTGGACTTTTATTGTCATCAAAACCTAAAACACACCTGGTCTGTCTCGCCTCACTGGCATCAAAGACCACATGTGTAGCAGATACCACACGGACCTCCCCCCAAACTTTGCTGGGTGTGGCGGAGACTTTACACTTGGCACAACGACACGTTTTGTCACCCTCTGTGTACTTGTTCACTTCATACACCTTTCCCGTCCCAATTCTCATCACGTGACTTCCTCTGTCCTGATAACATGGATATAGAACTTGAGTGCCTGGGTAAAACTCTGGTCTCTCTAGACTGGTAAATTTAGTCTTTACCTGGACAGTTATTGCTGCCATTGCTTTAATTGTCTCAGAAACGAGGTCGTCGTCATGGTAACGTGAAGGGAGACAACTTGTGTTGAAATCTTTAAGAGGTATAAAACCTTTGTGACCTGGATTCTTCTTACAGTCAGTAACGTGTTTGTGTAACTCAGCTTCTCCTCTATAGCACATCTCAGCTTCATGATTTCCTACAGGAATAGGGAAAATAACAACACCTGTAGAAGTATTCACATATGGATATATCAAGTTCTCATGGTTTCGACAAGAACAATAACAAAATTGCCTACAGGAGCAAAGTAACAGCATATTATTTAAGCAGCTTTAAACCAATACAAATTGAATGTATCTTTGAACTTGTTCTACGGGTATCTAAATCAGCTATAACAAACTCACATGAGTGTTTACACTTGCCCAGTTTTAAATTGTTAAGATTACAGTGGCTTTACAATGGTCATATCTTACCTGGATGAAAGACACTTATTTGGTCAGTGTTGATAACTTCAGCTGGACTCTCAAAGTATGACATACCTATAATTTTTAAACATAAAAACACATTAAATATACTTTATTTTAATTTGTTTTGACAAGAAATATAACAAAAGCTGTCAATGTTTCCCTTTTTACACACAACACTGTCTAAAATTTCACTAAAATTTGTTTCTTAAAAATTATATTATGTATTATATTATGTATATTTTATCTTGTAAAAAACCCGTGTAACTTATTCAGGAAAAAAAATATAAATAAATATTAATTTACAAACCGTCATATTAGTTCTTAAACTACATTACTAAAACATGTGTTCGTATCAGGGATTTAATGTTTATATGGCTCTACCTTCAGGTCCAAATTGTGAGTCTAGTTTTTCTTCTCTTAATTCAATTGAGGTTTCCATGGTTTGTTTCTGTAGATAAAGTTCTGTATCATTAATAGAGCATTTAAAATAAGACTTAATTATAATATGACAATAATAATTAAACTAATGAAGAATTGATAGCAAAATTTAAACATGACACTAGCTGTAGAATTATCGACATTTGGGTATACCAATTTCTTATGTTTAATGAACCAAGCTTTATTTAACAAATAGTAACCTAGTAGTCAACAATTTTCTTCTTACAAGTAAAAGAAAGAAAATAATATTAGAGTTATACAGAAAACATTAGGTGTTTAAGTTTAATATTTTGGTTTTTTTATAATCATAGCAAATATGGTGGTAGGCTAACTGTTTCTTTTGAAATTTGCTTTCGGTAAACCTTTTAAAAATTTTCATTAAATGTGATTTTCAATATGTAATCTCAATATGAAAATAAATTATAATGTAGATAACTTTATAATGTTTTTTGCTTAATTAGCCTTAGTTATTTCTAAAGACTTGATTATTCACAAAAAATAACTTTCAAATTATTCTAAAAGCTGCATCATAGAAATAATTTTTTTGTAATTGTAACAACATCAACTTCATTGTTGTTATTATGGGTACGTTTAATAAACTCACACGAGCAATAGTAGTAGCTTCAACTATAACTTTATTTACACTTTATACAGAGAATTAATAGATCCATAGTAAATCCATAGTCACAACTGGTATAAGTACAATAACAGTCACAAATCAAATTGACGTAGTGACATCCTACATTCACAGCTAGTCTCCAAGTCCAAGCACAAGCACCCCGTTCACCTTTCGCTCTACCTTTTATACGGTCCATTCTCTCCCCTTACGTACATGAGCGATCTCACCCAAAAGCATGGGAAAATACATGACGAGTCGCTCAGACAGTCCTTCCGCTAGCCAGGTACTCTACATTCATGCAACTTCATGTAAAACACAATATAATATAAACATACCTAATTATACAGTCTGTGACAGTAATATTAAAATCATAATAACAATTTATTTAAAATGAAGACGTCATTCTAAATAAATTTAAGAAGATAAATTTAGAAAAACGTACATGCTCTATATATGCTGGTATAGACAACAAAATACAAACACATTGTATTCAGTTAAAACTACTTAGATTTTTATTTTAAATAAAGCTTATTGGTTACACAAATGCCATAATAAAATAAAATCTACAAACAATAGGATTAATTATTGCAATTTTCATTAATTGTGCATTTTGTAATGATGACTTTCATTAAAAGCAAGGACACGATTTCTTTTTTAAATATCGATACTATAAGTTTCTATTTTCATATTTTTCATCTTATGACGAATGTGTAATGATTCAATTTTAAATTAACATATTATTCCAGTTTAATTACAACAAAATGTAATTGAAGTCACTTACGGATCTATGAGCTGTTTTGTGTATCTTGTAGTTTGAACTATTTTACAAATTATTTTTAATTATTAGCTAGAGTCTACAATTGAAAATGGTAATTCAGTATGATGTATAGATCTTGATTCTAGGATCGACAGTCATTTTCAGTGGCAACGTATAACCTCCTTATCCAAGACACCTCACTCCCGCTCCAAGGACAAGTTAGGGAATGGTAAGGGACGGTGATGTCTTCTATATCCTCCTCCCACCAACGTCAAAGTGTGGAACGGGAGTTGAAAACTTTAAAGAAAAAAAAAACTTAACCTGAGCTATGAATTCAATAACTCGACCGGTACTGGCATTGATAAAAAATATATCGTGTTTTTTCCACTATCGTAGAAACTTCTGTACCGTTGTTTCAAATGTTTTCAACAAAGACAGTATGCGTGCAATTGTATTTAGACATAGCAAACACGTACACTCAATAATCAAATGACAAATTCCAACACTTGTATCCAAACACATGCCTTATAGGCCTATATATTCCTCATTTAATTTTAAAACAAGAGGAATGCTAAAGCAACTGCAGGAATTGCCTACTGGCAGTTTCCAAAATGTTGCTGAAAATGTTGAATTTAGTTAATAACTGTTACATATTTCTTAATCAATTTTCAATAATGTGTTTTCAATTCAATCCAAATACATGCTCTATCTATCTTAATCTATAAACTAAGACATCAAAAGAAAAATCAAGCTCTTACCATCAGCTTCAAGATAAAAGGTTTTCAAAATGGCCGTTCAGTCAGTTACTGCGAAATTCTATTTATAACCTAGCTTTAAAAATAAACTATCACGGTTGTTTAATTTCCCCGCTATTACTTGTGTATGAAAAATTAAGACACCGCACTGGCTAAATAACTTGTTTGGTTTATTTGTGACACATTTGTTCGAGTAAAGATAATATGACAGAAAAGACGGTTTAAAATGTGTATTGTGTATTGTATATGACGTCTTTTGTGTATTGATGAACTTGAGGTTAACGGAGAACAACAAAAACATTATTAATTCAGATCCTGATAGTCCGTATTGTTAAATTTATAAATCCTTGTCCTTCACACTCTTTTAGATGGCATTTCTCAAATCTTCGCCATACAATCTGATAAGGAAACAACAATTAGAAAAAAATATTAAAGTAGGCCTATATTTTTATCAACTGTCGTTCTTTTATCTTAGCATTCAGAAGATGTTTCTAAATTAAATGAGGTGACTCTTAAAAGTTAAAATACAATACGTATTTTTTGCTTAAAATTAATATGTTTAGATATATATGTAACAGAAAGAGGAAAGATCTGACGTAATTAGGCTAAATCAATGTATACATTCACTTTCGTAAAGTTACGTTTATAAAGTGAGGCTACTCTTCATATGCCGAGGTCACAGAAACAAGTGAACTCTACTTCACTTGCCCCATAGACCGTCAGGTATGAAAGGGAAACTTTACTTACTTTTACTCAGCGGCGTATGTAAGGTTTCGGGGTAAATAAATGTTTTGGATTTGAACCATTTTGGAGAGTCTAGCTACTATTATGACAGAGCTCGCATTTACCAGACTGGCCTCGACACAGTAAACTCCGACTAACTGGCTTTTGAAGATGTCGGTTCGATCACTGCATGTTGGTCGTTATCGACCGTGGGTTCTTACCAGGTAAGCCAATAGGTGCTAGACCCCATGACTTGCCTCTGGTACTGCGCTACATTGTGGGGTGAGTTCGGACATACGAGCCTACTAACTGGATAGTCTGTTAACTAAAAAAATCTAAATGTTATAAACCTTCCTAAGCCGGAAAAATACTTAAAAAAACTTTTTAAAAAACCACGTTTTTCTTGTGGACTAAAAAGTAGAAAATAAATTTTTCTTTTGTGCTTCCTCGAGCTGTGCAGATTCTTGTGATGACTGACAAAAAACGTGGGTACGTTCACGATCAAATTTCCCGACCCATCTGCCCGACCCACGTTTTTTGTCAGTCATCACAAGAATCTGCACAGCTCGAGGAAGCACAAAAGAAAAATTTATTTTCTACTTTTTAGTCCACAAGAAAAACGTGGTTTTTTAAAAAGTTTATTTTAAGTATTTTATTTTCTCCTTTTTAGTCCGTTGCTACACATGAAAAACGTGGTTTTTAAAAAAGTTTTTTATATAGTTTATTTTCTACTTTATCTAATGACTTGATTAAGTCTGACTTGACTAAGTGTTTATAAATACACGGACTAAAAATCTTGAGCGACCAGGATTCGAACCTGGGTTGTCGCGGCCACAACGCGAAGTACTAACCACTATACGATCACGGCCAGCGCGCTCACATCGATTGGGGCCGAAGTAACTGTGTCAATAGGCCTCCAGTCTTGTCGGTATCTTTAGAAATCATGTCCTCAATTTTATGGTCCTTGGGGCGTAATTAAATTAAGCTAATTACGGTCTCTAATTGCTAGTTTTTATGATTGCATCTGAAATTGTTAGGCGAAAGTAGCCTGCATGCCAAATTTCAGATATCTAGAGCAATCAGAAGTGGGCTAATTTTCGATGTCAATTTTAACAACAAACAAACAAACGCGAAGCTGAGTTAAGAAAAACGTGTTAAAAAAAACTAAGTTTTAACGGTGTGTTAGTGTTTGTATGCGCATATGTGCCTGCGTGTATGTGCCTATGTATATTCGCGCGTTTGTATGTGCGAGTGAGAATTTTGACATTAATAAATACCTCAATTGCAACATTTACATCTCCAGTTCCAGATTAAAGGCGATCCCGTGGTTTAATTCTTTAGCAATAGCCTCATTCAGCGTCACAATTTTTATCCCCAAAGAGGAGTTAAATTCACCAAGCACTTCATACCATCCTTATCGGTGTGAAATGTACTAATTTAGTTTATCTTTAAACCTGTTGTTTTTCTCGTTTTTACAGCATTCGTGCATATACAACCTTTCGCATAAGTCTTATGAAAACAGAATGCATTTTATGACCACCCCGGCAAATTAAAGACTTGTGTAAGGTCAGTTAAAGGGAACGTTTGTATACGTAGCAATCTGCTGATAGGTGTTAACGCAATCACAGGAATATTTTTTTAAATGTCCCAACATACTTTCTAACATTACATCATCAGTGTAGCCAAATCTTCTTCAAATACATATTGAAAAAAATACATATATAAATATAGATAAATAAAAATAATATGCATAATTATAAATATAGGTTTACATATATATTTATATACGTTTATGTATAAAAGTATATATGGGTGGTATATTTGTAGAACTATACGTCTGTATATATATATATATATATATATATATGTATGTATATATATGTATATATACATGTGTGTGTGTGTGTTTTCTACATTAAATATTGCCATTGCTTACTTTTTAAATAATTAACTCACCTGTTTTCTAATGGCTTCTTTCTATGATGAAAACATTTTAAACAAGTAAAAACAGAAAAAAAGCCATACAATTAATTAAAAACAAAAAACAATTCTTTAGTACCTGTAACGTTTGGTGACTAACTTAAAAGTGTTAAAAAAACCATTTGACCTATTTTCTAAAAATAGCTAAAACTCCCAGGTAAGTGTCATGTGGTACTGTGTGTTGGAATATCAGATCAGGAATTTCCGAACTTACGAAATGTTGCTATACTTTATCCACTAGGCTTAACTTAAAGTATGTTTCTCTAGCTACTGTATATTAATTTAAATTCCTATGTTTTAAATATATGTTACTTGCAGAGGCTAATAATATTTTTAATTGGGTACACAGCAATCCAATTTGTACACATATTAAAGAGTGACATTCAAAACTTGATGCTTGTGTAAATTTTTAATTTTTATTCTCTCGAGTTTATGACAGAAGGGCATAATGTAACCTGGAAAGTAATAGCAAAATAAGTATTGATTTCTAGTAAATGACTAAGATATAATTAAAGAAACAGACAACATAAATGAAAATACCAAATTGAAGTTACACACTCAGGGACGGTCTAATGACTTGAACCCGGATTCGAACTCGAGACGTACGGGTTAGCAGTCCAGCTCTCTACCGCTCGACCATTCCGTCCCAAAGGGTAGGTAGTCCTAAAAAAGGGTAGGCTCAAAAAAATAACTGGTAAAAACAAAACCCTTTTAATTAATAAAAATCCTTTTTTTATTCGTGTGTATCTAACTTAAGGTACATGAGGGAAAATATTTTCATGCAACAGGGAATCCTTTAAAAATATTATTGCCACGGAAAAAGGCGCCCCATTTTGAAAAAAAAAGTTTTTGTTGAGGTCTCACGGTTAAACAAAATAGCATTTATTTTGCCCATATAATAACTAGTTTATCATTCTTTTGCGAAATCTTATAGTGTCAGTAAGTGAGTTTTTGCAACAATTGCAAAAACACTAGAGAAACAGCTGTTATAGACGAATATTTTGGATGCGATAGCCAGATACCATTTAAGCTGCAGTTTTAAATTATAAACAGTGAAAGTTAAGAATTTCAACGGCTAAATGCATTCGCATACTGCTTTAACTGTTTTCCACATTGATTGTGTTAATGTAAAACTTATACCCTTAAGAAACAGTGACTGGAAAAAAAACACTTTCCAGCTTTTCCTAGAAGGAGGCGCTTTTTCGAAGACTAAAATCTAAAAATTTACACTGGTTTAGTGTGTTGATATTCATTACCACTTACAAAAGAAACCATTTGCATTAAAGCATATTGTGCGATTGTGTAACATTTAAAATAAAGAGTAAGTGACTTTTAAAACCCGCTCTGCAACTTTGTTCACGATGGTGGATGGGGTGGGGGTTGTTGGCACTTTTTCGCCATCAAAAATCGCATTGACTTGTATTGGATAGGTGGGTAGATAACTACTGTAACACTTAGAATTGTATTAACGCAATGTATGATTTCACTATCCAGTATTGTTAAGAAATGACGCGACTAGTTCTTTGTACGATTCTTACGATTCTTTTCACTTCAACGTGAGATCAGATACTTTTACTTGACTAAATTACATCTTGCTTGGATCACTATATTAAAGAGAAATAAATATAAAAGATTCTTGTATCGCTATTCTTCTGTTTATTCGTTACTTCATCCTAAGCTTAAGCGTAGGCAACACTTTGTCATCTCACTTGATTTTTAAGAAGATCGAACCTTAATCCAGCCTCACCCTACTCTTTTTCAAATGATTTCCTTCAAGACGTATTTGGTCTTTTTCTCTTCCTCTTTCCCCGTGGACTTCACACAAGCACCTGCTTAGTGATGATATTTTCTGTCTTTCTGATATTTTGCCTTAACAACCACCTATTCAATCTTCACTGTCTGTAACCTAACTCAGAGCCATACAGTAAAAGAGACTTCATAATTAGCTATAGATGCTGATTGAATTTTTGAACGATGCATTTCAATTCCACATAGGCTTAGTATGTTAAATACGTTTTAAATATTAATACGATCGGGTATAGCCTAGGAATTTATCTAAAGGCAGAGGCGTAGCTAAGGGGGGGGGGGAGGCCGCCCCGGAAGCCGACCCTAGAGGGGCACCAAAAGGGGTAGAATTGTTTTTTTTAAAAAGCTCATTTTAAGCTGTAGTTTTGAATTATAAACAGTGAAAATTAAGATATACTGATTTTACTGTTATCTACCTTGATTTTGTAACTGTAAAACATATACTCCAATTGTGTGACATTAAAAAAAGAGTTAGTGACGTTTAAAACCCGCTCTACCAACTTTGTAAAGATGGTGGGGTGGGGGCTTTTTCGCCAATTATAATCGCAAGGATTTACATTGGATTGGTGAGTAGATAACTCTTTTAGCACTAAGAAAAGAAACAAACTTTACCAACGCTTAATGCACAATTTCACTAGCCAGTTTTGTTAAGAAATGACGCGACTAGTAGTTTGTACGATTCTTACGATTCTCTCAACTTCAACGTAAGAGATCAGATACTTTTACTTGATTGCATTACATCTTACCTGGTTCACTGCATTAAAGAGAAATAAATATCACGGATTCTTGTATTGCTATTCGAACAGTAAAATATAAGGCTGTCGGAGCGGGTGGATGGTGACACTCTTTGCAAACAATTTTAAGAGAGAAAAAATTTAGTATATTGTACTGAATAGATCTTGTTTTTATTGCTTTTTTTATCACAGTTTGTTGCTTTGTTCAACCTAACATAATTTTAAACTGTAATACACTAGTATCGAAATTGTTCTAACAACACGTCCAAAAGTAGACCTGCACCTTCTACAAATTACACTCTAAAGTAGTGGTTCTTAACTTTTTGGAGGTACAGAACCCTAACAGTTTCATATGCGCATTCAACACACCTTCTAAATAGTTGTATCGTCCTGACCCAATACGATCGTGAATCGTATGAGTCGGCTGTGCGTATTGACCTCCGCGGAAGCCCTGAGACTAACGTACAGAACCTCTTGGCTTCGATGGAGCTCACTGTTCTAAACTCTTTTGATTTTCTTCTTTTTATTCGTTTCGGCTTCCTAAGGAACATAGGCGTGGGAAACACTTCGTTTGACCTCAATCTAACAAACTTATAATACAACTATGTACTATGTCATAACAGAGACTGTTCCAAAGATAGAACATAAAAAGACTGTTCGAAACGAATTAACACCTGCTACAAACTGCCCTCTAAACTCATATGATGTTTATTTTTTCTGACATTATTAACCTTTTTTTAAAGGACAATGCATCTTAAGAGGAATTTTATGGGCGTCGAGTAAAGTTTTAGGGAACGACAATCATACATCGTTATTATTAAACCTTTTCCGACTTCTCCGGACTGTCAAACTCTCTCTCTCTCTCACACACATATAAATATATATAGATATTTGCGTGTACATATATATATATATATATATATATATATATATATATATATATATATATATATATATATATATATATATATCTGGCGACACAACTGAATGTTTTATTATGATCCGCGTTCATTTAGTAAAAGATCAAAAAGAAAAAAAAAACCCAAAAAAATATGTGTCAATGCCCGATGTTTATTTTTTCGTAAAGATTCTTTCATTCATTTTCTTTTCTGCAAGGGAAAAAAATAAACAGAGTAAATAATACCAGTACAGTTATATGTATATAATTACAAATATTAAAATTCTAAACCTAAAGACTGTTTATATTATTTCTTTTTTTTTAAATTTAACTTACCCAACAAACAAACACGTTTAATACGCACACTAAAATTTGTAAATCATTAATCATCGATTGTTTTTTTTTTTAATTCAGTATGTTGAAAGCTTTCCTATTTGTTATACTTTGATCTGCGCAGTCAGTTTCATAATTGGAAACTTCAAAGTTTTGCTGAGTAAAATTTTGTATGCAACGTTAATGTGTAAAGCATTGCTATTTTATCATTTATCTAAACATTTTATGAACAATAGAAGATGAGGATAATTTGTTGGGATAGTAATAAGAAGTTGCTGAATGTGTTGATTGAGATGTTGTGATTTTGGATGGAGATGTGACGCAAACAATGTTAATAGTGAAAGTGTCGGTAAGTATTGAAAAAATGGAGTTTGTGTTATAAATAGCAGACAGACATAGCGAAGATATTTTTTTTAAAAGTATAAATCAATATATTAGCTTGGTTGTTTGTTAGCGTAAAAATGCGTGCTAAGGGATGGAATGAAGGGAGTCTGATGATATATTAGGGACCTGGATTTTGGAGTGTAGTGGTGTTGGGGATTACGTGTAGTGGCAGCGAGTTTGGAGTGGTTTGGCAAATGTGAACGGGTCGCTATGAGACTATGGTTGTTGCCGGTGTGTGTGTGGATATGTCTCAAAGTGTACGTGGGTATTACGACTGGCATTGGATTTTGCGGGTATCTTTCACGGGCTTTTATGTTAGAAAATGTATTATAAACTTAAAGAAACAACCTTAAACTACGCATTATGTTTTAGCTCTCTATAACTTACTACTTTACAGGCCAACATATTTTTTCTCCACCATCTCCTTTATATCTTCTATATGAAGAAAGAAAAGAAAACTAATATGAAACAATAATGGAGGGAGGTTTTTATTAAATATCTTTGGTCTCTGTAGCTAAATATTGATGGTGAGTTGGATAACAACAATTGCTATAATCAAACTATTTGTATCCTAAAGCTATTACATACTTGCAATATTAAAGTCTATAAATTGAATACCACTTCAGCCTGATAGTGGACATTTCATCAATAAGTATTAGATTAAAATCGGAGATGTCTATAAACTTTTGAATTATTTCTTGTTCGTGAAAGTTGTCTTTTGCACTATTTTCAAGCCAGGGGACAGAACTCATACAGCCTATGTACAACTTACAAAACCAAGATTGTACAACAAATCACTCTTAAACGTTTTGAATAACCAGGTCTGCATGTTGTGTCAAGCGTTGTTCTAGTCTGAAAATAACTACTTTGTTATTTAAACATTTTGCCAATGTACACCGAGCTTATTCTCGAGTTTAGCATAATAAATCAATCGGAAATTGAACAATAAAACATGCTTCGAAAATTCGTTTCGATGGCAATTTTAAATTAAATCTCAGTAACAATAAACCTTAAGGACATTAAAGCTCCTTTGAAAAAATTATGAAATTTTTTAAGGAAAATCCGACTCATAATTTTAATAACTGAAAAAAAAAATTATGTACCTTGTATTAACCACACAATCATAATCTACACAGCACGTCATGTAACTTGTACAGCCTTCACCAGTCGTTTTGCAACAACTGTTTGATAGACAATAAAACGTAGGTAAATCTACAAATTCATATATGTCTATATCCATATCCACATCCTTTTCAATTTCAAAATAAATTCTTCTATCCATCAATTCATCCAACCTCCAACCCTAAACCCACCCACCCAACCTTTCATCCACCGATCCAACTATTTAAAAATCAAACTTTTTTGTTTGTCTGTCTCTCTGTTGTTGTTTTTGTTTGTTTGTCTACCTGTCTGTTTTGTTTGTTTGTTTGTTTGTCTGTCTATCTATATATTACCAATGTAAGAAAATGTTTATTTTAAGAAGATAGTTTAATTTAATTGACCTGTCTGTCACAACACAGAGATTTGCAACATACATCAGAAGAAGGCGAACTGCGATCTTCATTTTAATCAGCTCAGTATAACTAAAATAAAATCATGTTATTTAAGGATTAGGTTAGGTATATTTGATTCCACCAATTGTGTAAGGAAAGGGCGCCTGAAACGTGGGCAACTTCTGTCTCTGCTAATCTTAACAACCAGGCATTGTGCTTGGATTTGTAATGCGTAATCATCCAATGGTCGACAAGACTACTGAGCGATGTTTAGAATTGCATGATGGGTATGTGGATGTATATAAATGTACATTAGATTCGTAAGACTTGGTTTATTATATTGCATTTTTGTAACCCTTTCAAAAAAAAACATAAAACCCAAACTGATATAGTATTTTACAGTAACAGGTAGATAATCTTTACGAACTTACATACGCATTAGCCAGATTATGATTACTGGCCAAGAGACAAATATTAAAATGCATATAACATTTTTCACACACACACACACACACACACACACACATATATATATATATATATATATATATATATGCAATAAAAAAGGAGACCTACATTATTTTCTTTAATATTTAATAATTCACTACTTTTTAAATACCTGTAAAAAAACATGATTCATTACGAAAAATTCAGTAAAATAATTTAAGGTGTTCAATAGAAAGTGATTCACGCTTTATTTTTATAGTTTTTTAAATAGTAGTTTATTATTGCATATTAAGAGAAAAAATAAGTTTCTATAATTAGTGCATTACTAAATATAAGATTATTAATATATTCTTTTCGAAATAAAATGTCAGTAGGGCTACTTTAAAATTGTTAATAGAGTTTCACTGATTAAATATGAAAAAAATGCGCGTGTAATAGAGAGGTAAATAGCACTATATATATATATATTAGTATATATATATATATATATATATATATATATATATATATATATATATATATATATATATATATATATATGTCATATTGCATTGTCCTTGGGTCTTGACCTACGTGCGAATATGAAATGAATTGGTCAGATAAAGTAATAGAAATTTAGCTTTGTAATTTCGATCCATAGACATAAAAAGCCGGTTAAATAAAAGCTTTTAATGACAAGTTCATCTTGAATTGAAATGCATATATTTTTAGCTAATATAACCTAACCAAACTTTATGAGACCTAATTTAATTTGATATTATCAGATCTAAACCGTAACGGAAATGACTATGTTAATTTCGGCCGAGCTAAACTAAGGTAAATGAATTTAAGCTAAGCTGGTTCTGCAGTGACATTTGCCATCCTGCCCTCTTTCTGTAAATATTTTTGTTTTTCGTTCTTTTTATTGCTCGCCAAGCAATATTGCCTCCATTAAATTTCCCCCTCTTCTTCTTTCCACTATTGTATCGCAATCACAACTGAACTAATGTATCCAGTGGATATAGTACCAAATTTGTTTTATGCCATCCGCAATGAATGAACCTGGAATATTATTAAAATTTTGTCGGTAATTAACATGTAGTACGGTCAATGAACGATATCAGTAAATTTCGTTCGGTTTATTTCATTGCTTTAAGGGGTAAAGCCAACTATCTGTTTATCCCATGTACTCTCCTGTCATCTCCAGTAGCATGGACCCCATTTGTTCACTTTATTGGGATAGCAACTAGCACTGTCTCTTGTTGTTCCACCTTAATGGATGAAGGCTATTATGCCGGCGGCTTTTGACTGATATCTTTGATGTTTTCTCACATCGTTGACATAGAAGGAGCTATAGTGAAAACACTTACTTACATAATCCTCATCACTCCCTATGGAGTATAGGGCAACAACAAATCTCCGCCATTCCATTCTGTCTTGGGCGAGCCACTTCTGTTCATGCCAGGTCTTGCCAGTAGCCTTTACTTCTTCTTCCATCTCTCTCCTTCTTGTTCCAAGTGGTCTTCCTCTCTTTCGCTTTCCAGGCGGAGTCCACTACAGCGCCATGTTGGGGAGTCTTCTTTTGCTCGTGCGTAGGAAATGTCCCAGCCATCTCCTCATTTAAACTTATGAAAACACTATTGACCTTATTTTGCAAATTGTACCTGTTTATCATAAGTGTTGAAGACTTTCGCGTAAGCTCCAGTCGCTTGGACCCGATGGCTCAAATTATAAAAATAGAAACTAGTATCGTCTCTTCTCTTGAAATTTCCCCGTCTTATTTTATACCTTATTTTGATTGTTGTCAAGATAGGAGTTATGCAGTAACTCATTTTTGGGGATGTTAGTATTTTTTATTACTGTGGGCCTTATGGTTTGTCGGTGTTTTGGTCTGCCGGCCTTGTCTTCTCGGTCTTATGTCTTGTCTGCCATATATCTTGTCGGCCTTTTTTCTTGTCGGTCTTTTTGGATATCGGTCTTTTTGGTGTCGGCTTTTTATCCAACACCCAGATGTACACTTTCTGGGTGAACCACAGTTCACCAGACTACTGAGTATGTTAACAAAATGGTCTGTTGCGCATGTCTGGAGAGCAATGGAGGGGGCTGGATGAGGGTTAGATAGTCGGCTTATCGTTTGCCCGTATATATTTGTAAATCCTGATAGGGACGAGGTGAGGGGGGGGGGGGGGTAACTAACCTACTTCCCTAGGCTAATGTAAAATAAACTATCCGGTAAGTGCAAGTCCGGCTGAACCTGGACTTGTTTTATAAATTCTTATCAAATAATTGATCAATAGACTTACATGTTATATTGGCAGGGCCAGTAAGCTTAAATATTTTGAAATATGGGGAGTGTTTGCTTTTTGTTACGATGAGGTAGTGGGGGGAGGGAGCCAACGTGTAAAAACGTGACATTGTTTATGGATGACCCCATAGTCATAGGCTAATTTCTATTACTTATATCTTACCAATTGGTATCAAATCGGCACGTAGGTCAAGCCCCAAACACAATGTAATATAACGTCGAATTTGAACTAATCCTTTTTCAAATTTTCAAATTATCACTAAACAAAATTGAAATAAAGAGTTGTTAAATTTGCTTTAAAACATTTATTACATGATAGACTTTATCGAAAAAAAACTGTTTTCAGAATATATGAGATAGTTTTGTTGTAATACTTGTGGTAACTTTCATTTTTAGACCACTCGCAAAGCTACAGTTTACATTTTTATAGAAAAAAATACTAACTCTAACAGAAATAAATCACTGGCGATTTTTCAAAGTTTTACTATTTAGGTATTATATTTACATACGAAGTATAGAGAAAGTTTTGTAATCGTGCAAAAAAAAATCGAGATTTTTACAAATCTCGACGTTTTACACCTCACTGATACGGAAAAAAAATAATTTTGCAATCTTGTCCGTATGTCTGTGTGTCTGTCTGTCTGACTGTCTGTGTGTCCGTGTGTAAACACGATAACTTGAGTACCGTTACTGCTAGGTTGATGAAATTTCATATATAAGTATTTTATCAAAATCGTAGATCCGTATCAACTTTTGGGCGATTTCCGATAACCGGAAGAGGTACTTTTCCTACTTTGAATTTTCTCAAAAGCCTATAACTTGAGTACTATTTGAGATAGATAAATGAAATTTCACATGTAAGTAAAATATATAATTTTCTACCTTCTGTTAAATTTTGAGAAATTTCCGTTGAAGGGAAGTAGTAATCTACGCACTTTCGATTTATCAAAAAACAAATGTAAATTTTTAAAGTACTAATAATATTGCGCACTATTATGCACTTTTTTTTGGCGTTCACTTGGTGTGCAATTAATTTGTCTACGAAATTTTATTCTATTTTAAAGACTTTAAGTATTTAAAATGGATTAAAAATCATGTCTATATCCCGAGTTCCTATCCCCTGTTATTTTATATAAGAATATTCGAGAAAGTTTATGGGAGATCACTCCCGGTTTATTTCCCAATAGCTTTGCTTGTTATTTTTTTCAAAAATTAATTTTTTGTTAACTTTTTTAACAATGTCGCTAAGCATGTGTTTTGACATTATTATACAAATAGTGGCAAAACTTTTATTTACTATCACTGAAAAAAAAATACTGGGCAAATACTGTTTGTAGACAATAATGGCGATAAAAACAACAAAGATATGAATTTTCTGTAGAGAAATGTCGACAAAGTAAGTGTATAAGATACAATCAAACAACCTGTTCAAGTCCCAGAGCAGATTTTTACCGTGACGATAAGGCCTATACGTTACTCCAGTCATTCAGTTTCGCATACACTGCATACTTTGTCAATCTCACATACTATAGTGACTAATATTCTCTCTAACCTGCATGGTCGTGCGGCCGATCAGTAGTTTTGAACATGCCGCGCTGTCATTTCGTAAAATACATGTTACCTTGTATAATTTTTTTGGAACATCGCGCACTATGTACACTAGATTTTTCCACTTAGAGGGAGCGTTAATAATGACAATTACCCCTCGGATATCCCCCACCAGATATTACCACCTCCGAGCAATTACCCCTCGTCCTAGCTAGGACTAAGGTTAGGTTAGGGTTAACTGTAGGTTTAGAGTTCTTATTTCGGTTTTATTTTTGTTAGGGTTAGCTGTAGGCTTGGAGTTTGGGTTTAAGATCAGGGTTCTTTAGCATTGGGGTGGGGGGTGGGGGGGGGGGGGGTATTTCACGGAGTGGTAATGTCCTAGACCCGAAGCTGAAACATATCATTATCATCAATAGAACTAGATTTGTCCAAAACATTAACAACCAAACGTCCTTGTGATAATTGAAAAAGGAGACTAGAGAAAGATATTATTTTAACTAGAGGCTTCTAAAAAACACAGTTTCAAATAAAATTTATTGACTATGGTTATGAAAAATTGAAAATAGATTGAATTGAAGATCCTAATAATTTTAGACAATTAAATCCTTTTTATTCATGGTAACTCGAATTATCGATCATATATTTTTTATATAAATTATATTTTGTTCCTATGGGGAGGGTGGTAGACGTTATCATGGTGTGTGTGGGGAGAGCGTCGCCCCTCGACGAAGAAATGCCGGAAAGAAACTATGCATGCAGACCAATTTTTAGTATAGACAAATAAATTAGGCGGTAATGTTTTGTG